CCTGTCTCCGCGCGAATTCAAGGGGATCAGGCCTTCCTTATCCGGCGGCTGAGACGGCAGCTCCGGCACGGTAGAGTGAGCCAGAGAGTCAACGAGGTCGGCTGGCGTCTCCGGTCTTGCACTGGAAGGCCGGTAAGCGTTTGTTGATGGGGTTGAAGTTCTCCACTCGGCGGTGCGATAGTCCATTGTTGGCTTGGATGTAGAAATCACGTGAGCATTCTTGCAGTGAGGACCGTATTTACACGTTCCCTGAGATAGGATTAGCAAAGATATAGCGTAGATTCGAAGAACTAAGAGCGCGCAGAGTACCTTTGGGAAGAATCTGCACACTGGTTGACTGGTACTGCCTGGAGCTGGTATCGTGTACTTGCTCGCCATGTGACTGGCGGGCGCCTTCTCAGGTGATGCGGCCGGCGCTGAACTTGGATACTGGAGCATTGTGGACCGAAAGATTGAGGTAAACTCTTCGACATTTAAGCCAAGACTTAGATATCCTGCGTTAAAGCCAGCTGCTTTAATCAGCGAGACTCGCTCAAGCTTTCCTCGGTACGGCGTTAAGAGCGAAAGGTAGCCAGTGTCATGGCAGCCAGCGAAGAATATGTGCTTGCATTGACTGTTCTCCGCAAAAAGACGGAACATCTCTGTATACATGGTAAGTAGGTGCTCAGTACCATAGGGTCGTTGTGAATGTGCTGACGTACCACGGATCTTGAAATCAGCCCCTTCCTTTTTGTCGCCGGCATCTACAAAGTCGAATAGGTCATGGGATCGGGTGAAACTCGCTGCGAATGGCGCAAGTGAACGAGCTTCGTTGCCAGCCATTCCGTGACGCGCAAGTAATTTGGAGAGGCCTGCAAGGTTCGAGTAAATGCGCACCATGATGCGGCATTGGTCGGCGTCGCTACCAAGCCTCAGTAAGCACTGCTTGATTGCATTGCTGAGACCCTGCGCCGCTGCAATCCCGCCTTCGCTGCCGTTCTTGATGAGGTGGTCGTTAAAGACATAGCCGTCCCCATCGACTAGGACGAGGACGAACGGGTTGCGTTCCTGCCCTCGTGCGAGTTTCTTGTACTTCTCCCTCACCTCCCGCTCTTCCTCATAGTCGCTTCTAAGGCTTCGGTAGTCTTCGAGAAGGTTTTCGTATGATTTAAGCAGGGTTTCAAGCTTGGTGCGTTGCTGTTCGCTAATAGTGCGAAACCCACTCAATTGAGCGGTTAGCGCGTCGAGGCTCGATTCGGTAAGCATTTTGCTCACTGAAATAGATTGGTTTTGGTCGTGAAGGGTGGATGTGCGTCTTCGTAATTGAATGCTCGCCACAGGAGCAGTGTGGAGGGCTGGGTTGGCTTTTGATACTCGAGAGTATCTTAGTCGATTGCTTCTTTTCTGCTTGTCCGGTGCCTCAACCCGCAACGCGCATTTGCCAGACTTTGTCCAGGCGCATTCACCCACTGCAGTAGTGTAGCTCAGGTTTCTAACTCGGATTACTTGGGTAGTAAACCTGTTAGTTAACCGGGACGCCGAGAAGCAAGAGGGTAGTGAAGTGGGCGGAGGTGTGAAGAGCAAGATCTGGTGGTGCACTTCGGCCCTCAGAGTGCGTCGCGTGCGCACGAGCCACGCAACGCGGCTTCACGCGGCTTGCTCGCGCTATCAGCTGCCGTAAGTGCGTCAATGCCCAAGAAACAAACTACTCCTCCCGTCTACCGGTAGCAACGTTACAAGATACATCCAGCATGAGGCATCGGCCTGGCTCACTCGAGGAATGGAATATTGCAAGGATGGTAGTCATAGGGTGAGTGTCAGCGTTTATGTGCACGAATTGACACCCAGTGGTGAAGCCCCTGAAGATAAATTTATTGAGAAGAAGCCGGTGCATGACATCCTCCTCCGAGTTTTCTTAATGGAGCTCGCGCCGACCACGGGAGGGATAGGTACAAGAGTGCGACAGTGATGGTAGAAAGACCGTTGGAGAGGAATACACTACGAAGTCTCTTTTTCAACGAAGCCAATGGAAACCTGTCAATCATCTGCACCAGGCAGTCACCTGAATCGCTGCTGATAACCGATTCCGATGTCTTTGACCTCTTGGGAAAGTGTTCTTCCGTTACAGCTTACATTGATAGCTGGACATATGACTAGACTCGCCCTGGCTACTCCGAGGCTCTAATCTTGAGCTTCTCCGTCCACTAAGCACGCAATCCGCCGACCAGAGTGATGTCCCCCGCATCGTCAGGGTATACATAGAATGCCAAAGCGATAATGATATATCTGCCGGGCAAGTCAGCGAAACTTTCCCACCACTATGACTTTATACTTTAAAACCGGGCAACTCACGTTCCAAGACACATCGCCCCTTCAAGGTAGTTGCTCTTTCCATCCTGGATCAGGTAGTTCACGACCAGCACGCTCAAGAAGAACACGACCGTCTCGAAGGTCTGGAAGTGCAGCGTCATCGGCTGGTTGATGATCCATCCCAGAATCACCATGAACGGCGTCACGAAGAGCGCGATTTGCATAGAGCTGCCAATGGCGACGTTGATCGCCAAGTCCATCTTGTTCTTGTACGCCACGATAACAGCCGTGACGTGCTCAGCAGCGTTGCCGACAATGGGCAAAAGCACCAGGCCGATGAACGTCTTGGAGATGTGCGCCGTCTTGACGATGGAGTCGATGCTGTCAACGAGGTATTCGGCGCATACGGCAACGATGATGGTAATAACTAGGAGCGCTACTCCGGCGGTAACAGGACTGAGCATAGCTTCCTCCTTGTCTTCCTCTTCTTCTCCCTCTGCATCTCCGTTTTCGGCGGTTTGTGCTTCGGTATCGAACAAGCTAGCATGCGACTTGAGCTGGAAGTACAAGTACAGCACGTAAAGGAGCAAGAGGATGATCGCCGTGCCGTGCGACAAAACGAGGATGTTGTCATCAGACTTGGCCTTCGATTTGGCAAGCGCGGCGTAGAGCGTTGCAGGGATGATGAGGGAGGCGCTTGCGACCGCCATGAGAGACGACATGGTGGAGGCGACGGTGGTGTTGAAGGTCTGTTCCTGGCGGACCATACCGCCTGCTAGAAAGCAGCAGCCGAGCACCTGAAACCTTTATCAATATGAAGCTCTCGGATAAGGGGATTGCGCTTGTGCCTACGAGCAAGATGTTGGAGAGAATGGAGCCGAGCATGCTGGATTGGACGATACGGATCTCGCCGTTCTTCAGAGCGACAATTGAAACCTAGAGTTGCGCATACAGTCAGCGCAATTCTGCAAAAGCTCTGCCGGCTGTGTTGAACATACTATGAGCTCGACGGCATTGCCAAAGGTCGCGTTCAGCAGTCCACCAATCGTCTGCCCCAGCTTGGCCGATAGCTCCTCTGTCGCAAAGCTCAGCAGCGCCGCAAGCGGGATGATCGCGAAGAAATTCACGATGAAGATGACAGTGTCGTTCGGCCATCCCAGCGCACCAAAGATGATGCCCAGCGGTACGAAAACAAGCAGCACGTTGACGTAATTGCTCGCGAGCATGATCCAAATGATGTGCAGGACATGCGCCGGCCAGCGCACCCATCTTCTCTCGTCCTCATAATAGTGGTGTCCATCCTGATTCTGACCGCCAGTCAGCAGCGCCGTTGTTTCCTGCGCAATTGACGACACGCGACCACCGTTTGGACGGCCCCGGAGGACGGCATGCTCGTGCTCTGATTTCGGGATCCTGGTTTGATACTGCTTCGACGACCGTGTTCATTAAACTGCTTTTGGATGTTCTCTTCATCGGGGTGAATCGCACCGAGTTAGCAAATCCACTTGAGACAGTTTGCAAGGTCGCGCGATGTTCGGCAATCTTTGCTAACGGGGCTTGAGCTGATATAGCGGAAAAGCCTGAGCTCAAGAATGCTCGGCAATGGCGGTGCAGGCTCGGCGATGAAGGAGATGGAGATGGGTCTGGTCGGGATAGACTCACTCATTGTAGGGGCAGACCTCCGCCTAGACGGGAAGGCAAAGGTGATGTAGCTGGGGAAGCTGCCGATGGACGGAGGGGTCGCGGAGCAATGCAGGCGATTCGCGGCGAGTATGCGCGACCCGGCACGGGATTGCTAACCACTCTGGTGAGTGCGCCTTATGATTGCGCTGGTTTGAGTAACGCAGTGCACTGCGACAAGGGTTTCGATGGAGGGAGAATGGATCGATGGCGGGAAGAATTGAGGCAGTGCAGGCCGTTTAGAGAGAGACTGGGAGCTTTGCAGCTTCGGAGCTCTGACGATGCACGTGTGGTCCGTAGCCAATAGGGAGCCGAGCGCTCTGCTCCGCCACGATAGCCAAGAGAAGAACCTGGAGAGAGCGTGGAGAACGACGGCTGCAGTGCGGAAGGAAGAGCGTTCGAGACTTGATGTTCGGGTTGGCAAGCGCTGGGAGGGTAGAGGAGAGCAATTAGGCGGTTTATGGGGTGTTTCTGAACTGTTATGAGTCCTGGCTCAAGGTGGAATCTTGGAAGCAAAACAGGGAAGAATTAGCTCCTGGTAAACGGCCAGCTACAGCACCCTGGCACCACCGGTGACTACTGCTGCAACCTTATTCTTGTGGGAACGGAAGCTGATTGACGAAAGTCGATTCTTCAGCGAATGGGGGAATCAGAACGCTGCCCAGACACCAATATAGACTAGTCACCGGAGGTGTCATGGTGCTGTACGCAATCGCTAGGACCAGGCCAAGAGACGTAACAGCTGTCTACGTGTATGTAGAATGACTGCACGAGCGCCTGAGGGCCTTCCTGCCGCCCCGCCAAACCAATGAATCCTACAGGTTGCTGAGCGATTGGCCCAGCTTCGTGCATGAGGATGACAGCGAAGGCTGGTGAACTCCCGCGGCGATGCTGCTTAGCGCCGGCAATCGCACGCGTGGGGAATCAAGATCTCAAAGCGCCTCGAATGATCCGCTCAGCATTTCCAGCCTAAGAGATATGACTTGATAGAATATCAAGCCAAGTGTCGTCACCGTCGAGTCATGTCCTCTGTCTCGATAGCTCAGTGGTAGAGCGTGGGATTGCAGTCACTGCAATCATCCTAAGGTCGCGTGTTCGAACCACGCTCGGGACTTGACTTTTGCACCACTTCTGAACTCAACAATCATTTTTGCCAGTCAGTCTGCACATCGAACAGCCATTCGTAACACCCAAACTCCAGCTTTGGAGTTAGGGGTTGCCAATTCTTGAAATTTGAGATGCGCAAAGTCCATAACAGGCTACTTGACACGAGACTACTGCGCAGCTGACTCCTACACGTGATGCACCAAATATCCCAGAAACTCCTATTCTGCTTCACCGCTCACCTTAACAAGCTCTCGATTGATCAGCCGGCACGGACTTTTCAGTAAACCCGCTCCGCTACTCCAAAACACCGTTCACCACACAATCCCCAACAGCGCCGTTCATAAACACTCCCATGACCACGAAACCCAGAACACTGTTCAGCGGCCCTCAATCGCGTAGCCTTCCTCTCCCCTCGTTATCCCCAGCCTTCTGCTACCCGCACCGTACATCAACTCCATCATCCTGCCCTTCTGCGTCTCCCTCACAGTCTTGAGATAGTCGTAGGTCCCGTCCAGGCCCCTGATCTGGTCCTCCACACTCAGCGTGCTGCTGTCGTTACTTCTCACCAACGGAGACACCAGTTTCTTCCTCAGAATCTCCAGGTTAGACTTTAGCTGCAGGAGCCTCGTGTTGTGGTCCGTCAGAATGCTTTTGTTGTGCACCGTCTTCGCCCGCACGGACGCCAGGAGCGAGCGGTTCTTCTCGTACTTGCGGAGCTGGGAGGCGTTGGCGCCGATCACGCGCGTCCAGAGTCGGGAAAGCATCTCTCCTTCTTCGCGCTCTTGCTGGTCCGTCTCGCGGACTACGCTCCTCTGGAGATTTAGGAACTGCCGGTCGATGCCCTCGAACAGCCTGAATAGCGCAGTGCTGTACGTGAGTTCTTGGTTGATACTCTCTTCCAGCACGGCCAGGAACTCGTTGAACGTGCGCTGAAGAGTCGCCTTTGTCCGTTGTGGGGTAGTTTGGCCGAAGAGCTCTTGCACTATCTTGCCCACAGTAGTCGGCATGCCGGAGGAGGATTCCAGAAGACCGACGCGGCAGAGGATAGTGTGGAGATTGTCAAAGGCGGATGTGAAGGTGCTAACGGGAAGAGAGGAGACTTGGAGGAGTTCCCGTTTGGCCCACTCCATCACTATGAGTATACTATGCTCGTGTCAACTTTGTTCTCCTTCCTAGGTTGCAATAAGAAGCGCACCTATCAACGTCCCCATCCACGTTGGCAAAAAACCGCGTAAGCTCTATAGCTAGCGTTTTGAGACTCTCGCTGAGCTCATCCAGCTCCTTTACAATAATAGGCGCAGATGTCATATTCGTGCTCCGCACACTCTCGCCCAAATCCCACACCGCAACCCCGGTCTCCTGCAGGTCGCTGATTTGCTGCACACCATTCTCAGAGTAGTGTATCAGCGGCTCGAAGGACTTGGCCAGGCCAGCAACTTTGACGAGATCGGGCACGGGACCAGGCGTTGGTGGTCGCAAGAGCATGCGTACGAAGCTTATCGATATTAGGCCGACTATTATGGCTGTGATGGTGGAAGTGCGGGATTTCGTAAGGGCGTTGGAGAGGTCGCGGAGGTAGCATATGAAGGCTTCGATGGGTTCGGTGCGGTGCATTACCTCCGCGTTGACTGCCAAGCGGAAGTCTTGAACTGTTAGCGCAGCGCAGGAGACTTTTGCGTGTGGACGTACAGTTGTTGCCATGATCATGCGAACTGGGGGGCATGTCTGGTTCTAGCGATGTGTGCTCCTCTATCTTGGGTAGATATTTCGTCTCTGGTTCTTGCTTGACATCCCTCTCCGGGCTCGTCCTCGGCGTCTGCTTGAGAGGCGACATAGGTAGAGGTATGTTCGCAGGGATAGTAAAGTCCCCTCCCCACAGCTCTCGTATGCTTGCGGGCTCGTCTGCCGTGAGCCTGACATACTGCTCGGCGCAAGCTGGTGCCGATACCAGCCACTGCCAGCCTTGCGCCATGCTGGGGGCGACCATGGTCCTACCGATTCTGACTCGGGCTCTGATTCTTCCGAGCGGAATCCAGAATGTGTCGAAGGAATACCAAAGAATGGTGCGCGGTCTCGGTTACTAGGTTCGTAGTCCTCGATGGAAGCTGCTAATGACGGGTGGCTCTCCAGCATTTGGTGGAGGTCCTCGGTCTGGAAGCCCGCCATTCTGCGCATGAAGAGAAACGAAGAAGAGAATCACTTTGCGAGGTGGCAGGCGGTGGTGCGATCTGGTATATGTCTGATTGGAGAGCTAATGTGATCTTGACGGTACACGTGGGTCTACACACAAGACAGCCCTACGAGACATGGGCGGTTGCTGCCTGACAAAACAAGTGCTTTGACGTTTACCAAAAGCGAACAGAGCGAGGGTGAAGGAGATAGAAAAGAGAGCGTCTTTCCATGGACCAACCCCTCCGGGCACCAGGACTGACGTGAAACGCCAAAACCGGTGGCTGGGAGTGTTGCACACCAGGGATGCAGCCTGATTGGCGGCGGGGTGCTGCCGCTTAACGCGACCATGGTCGTCCACGCTCACACGCGTAAGGCAAGACCGAGCTGTGAAGACGATGAAGTACAACTTAGCTCCAAAGGGACGTCTTCACCCACTGAGCACTATGAGGACGAGACTACCTAGGCAGCATCCAAAGTGCCATATCGCGGTTTCTGAGACGGCGATTGGCGTTTGAAGAGCCGCACGACGGGGATGGAAGAACGAAACCCCGAGGCTTCCCAGAAACTGAGGGCATACGCTCAGAAGGCCGAGCATCACTATACGCCCGCTTACCGACCGCAATGCCTCCGAGAATCGACTTCTTTGCGGCATCGAGACCGTTAACCTATCGACCGAAAGCCCTGACTTGCCCCGGACGAGCCCAGCAGGCCCTCAAGGCACTACCCGCATCATGTAGGGGCTTCGCCAACTCCAAAGACCTCCCCGTGGCGGAGGGCGCCGAGGGACCGAACACCGATACACTTCCTCATGTGAGCGAAGAGGCGGCGGCAATCAACGAAATTACAGGCAAGGGAGGGCCAGAGATTGAGCAAGGATCTCCGGTGCAGGAGGTGCGTCTGTACCAAGCGCCTAATGACGCCGGGAGCTGGAGGCTTTATGAGGAGTTCGTGTGCTTACTGGAGATGCGCAGGTCGTCAAGGGTGACAAGGAAGCCGAGAAGAACCTTCCAAAGGTCATGCAACAAGACATGAAGGCCTCCAAGCCCAGCAGCACACGCTCTTACCACACCTCCGCCCGCCGCCTCCAAGACGCGACCCTCATCACACAAACCTCCCAGGCACCGTCACAGCCCGGCGTCAAATTTGGACTCCCAGAGCTCCCTATGCCACGCTCCGCGAACCTGCACCACCGCTACGACCCCGTCGTTGAACAAGTCACCAACCTTATGATGCGGCATGGCAAGCTGAGCGTTGCACAGCGGGTGCGTTCTGTTTAGATTGTACATATCAGTAGCATATCGAAATGATGCTGATGGCGCTTCTCACGACAGAACATGTCCCTGATCCTGACCCACCTCCGTACCGCCTCTCCACCTACCATAAACCCATTACGTCCCCTGCTTCCCGGTGCTCCGCCGCCATCCCACCTACCTTTAAACCCGATCCTCTATCTCACCCTTGCGATTGACTCCGTCGCGCCGCTTATGCGGATACGCTCGCAGAGGGCGCCGCTGGTGGTGGTGTGGCGCTGCAGATTCCAGTGCCGTTGGGGTTGAGGCAGAGACGGAGAACGGCGGTGCAGTGGATTCTGGATGCCGCGACCAAGCGGAGGAATAGAGGGTCTGGGAAGGGCATGTTTGCGCAGAGAGTGGCGGAGGAGTTGGTGAGTGTGGTAGAGGGTAAGAGCAGCGTTTGGGAGAAGAGAGGCGGTGTGCACAAGATGGGTGTGAGCGCGAGAGCGAACTTGAAGTTTGGCCAGAGGAGATGATGATGGCAAGGCGCTGGGATCTGCTGCGGATTGGGGTACAGGTGGATTATCCATTGGGCTGGCTGTACAGAATGGGAGAACCCTGTAGGATTCGGTGTTGCATCATGACTGCCCGTGGTCTGCGTTGAAAGTTCGGGAAGGGAAGTATTATATTGTAGAGGCCAAGTAATGCTTGCTGCTGCTGGTTTTGTTGTATATACTAAAGCTGCTTCAAGAGAGCTTACATTCCTCGCTCGATAATCACGTGTCATCATGTGGGTGCGCCTAAGTCAAAGGTATACGTGGATGTTCATTGCTAGTATGAGACTGTACTGCCTGATCTAATTGACCGAGTGTCTCGAATGCGATATTGCTGCTCTGCAGCTCCACTGTGACTGCTTCCGTATTGGATTATGGCATGCTCTTGAGTAGCAGCTTCCACGGTAGTATCTTCCATACTAACATATTTCCAATCCTATGCTGCCGTGAGCAGATTCAATGACTATTAGAATATTGTAGTTGATGTTAAGGGAAAGTCGGAACTGGACCAGCGCTTCTTGCCAAGGCCTCCGCTGTTGCTCGCCCACCTGGGCCGCCGTCATCACCAACCCGCGGCCGCTCTTGCTCCACCTTTTCCAACTCCATCTACAGCTCTCCTGCCGCTGCCAGCGACCCGCTCGCACATCGTCCGAACTCCTCGCCTCCCCATGTTCTCTACGAGCAACAATTTGAGCCACCGTCTACTATTCACCGACAGTGGCTAACACTAGCCTCTATCTGCGGGGCATCTGACTGTCGGCCAACTTTGGTACTAGTACCGTCTTCCACAACACACTTCGAAACAGCTCGACAGGACCCGAAGAACATCCTGTCTATCTCTTCGGAGCATCCGATTCATCATCAGTCGTCGCGCCTTCGAGCACCGCGAATACCAAGCCGGACCACCGAAACCCGAGCTGCGAGAATATACGTTCGCATTATAGCATCCCACGCACAAGAATTCCAAGATGTCTCTCGAGGCTGCGCTGGATGAGGAGCGGCGGGAGATTCTGGCGTTGCTGGAGGGGAAGAAAACTGCGCCCAGAGCT